TGCCCTCCCAGCGAGGAGGACATCGAGCGGATCCAGCAGCTGGCAGAGCAACACAAGCTGGAGGTGGTTCCCCTGGTGCAGACCTTTGGCCATGTGGAGGTAGAGGGTGCCAGCCCTGCTCCCCATCCCAGATCACAGGGGTTCCCCTGGACCCCCCTGATGGCTCCTCCCCGCAGTTCATCCTCAAGCACGAGAAGTTCCAGCACCTGCGGGAGGTCGAGCGCTTCCCCAACAGCTTCAACCCCCACGTCCCCGGCACGCTGGCCCTGCTCAAGAGCATCCTGTCCCAGGTGATCGAGAAGCACCGGCGCTCCTCCTGGATCCACATCGGTGCAGACGAGGTGGGCAGGGGCTCTGCAGGGACCCCAGCCCTGGGGGGTGCCCCCAGAGCTGCTGAGCGTCTCCCTTCCCCCAAATCCAGGTTTTCCACCTCGGGGAGGGGATGGACTCCAGGAACTGGATGAGCCAGCACAAGGGCGACGTGGGCACCATGTACCTGAAGCACATCAAGGAGGTTCTGGGCTTCCTCACGGCGCAGTACTGGGGGCTGCGGGTGCTCATGTGGGACGACATGCTGAGGAAGATCAGCGTGGGAGCCCTGCGGGGTGAGGGCACAGGGCACAGGGTGGCACCTGTGCCAGGCTCCTCAGCTCTGTGCCCACCCTGGCAGGCGTCACACCCAGTGCCAGCAGGAGCCCGTGCCCTGCCCTGGGGAACGTGGCTCTGGGGAAGCGTGAGGAGCCCCAGGCTCCCTCCTGCTGCCAGCACCACCGCCCCCTCTCCCTGCAGAGTCCGGGATAGCCAAGCACGTCTCACCCGTGCTGTGGTTCTACGCACCCGACTTCGAGGCTGAGCAGATCGGTAAGGCGGCGTGCCAGGCCCTGGGGGCGGTGGGGGGATCCCCCCGAGCCCCCGCAGCCCCCTGGGGACAGTGGCACCGGTGGTCCTGTCCCGCTGCAGTGCAGTTCCTCACCAAGTACGTGGAGAGTGGCTTCGAGGCCGTGTGGTTTGCCAGCGCCTTCAAGGGCACCACGGGGCCGGCGCAGGCCTGGACCCCGCTGAGCTACCACCTGAAAAACCACCTGAGCTGGCTGAAGGTGATGCAGGCCGTGCCACGGCTGGCCCCCCTGCACTTGCAGGGCGTCGTGCTCACTGGCTGGCAGAGGTAAGGGGAGGTGGGACCCCCCGTGCCCTCCCGCTGCCCACAGAGCCGTGCTGGCACGGTGCTGCCTGTCCCTGGCCCCATCCCTGTCCCTGTCCCACAGGTACGATCACTACTCAGTGCTCTGTGAGCTGCTGCCCGTCAGCATCCCCTCGCTGGCCATCTGCCTGCAGACCCTGGTGAACGGTGAGCCCCCAGCCCTGGCAGCATGGCCAGGCTCACCCCCAGCTCCCACTGCCTGCCAGACCCCGTCCTGCTGGGCAGGGCACCAGGGGGGTGGGAGGAAGAGGAGGAAGAGCTTCAGCTCACTCCGTTTTGGGGGTGTGGTGAAGCCAGGGTGAGCCTGAGGGTGAGGTGTCCCTGGCTCCTTTGTCCCTTTCCTCGCCCTCCCAGGGGGCTTCACAGAAGAGGCAAAGAGGAAGGTCCTGGATGTGCTGGGCTTGGAGAGTGTGCAGCTGGAGCAGAGCACCTGGTGTGTGGCACGTGGTGGGGGCAGTTGCATCGCAAGGGATGCACTGGAGGGAGGCAGGGGCTTGGTCACCCAAATGGCCTGGCCCCAGACCTGCCAGGGCACTGGGGTTCACCCAGCCCAGTGCACCCCACGTGCTGAGCCCTCACCTTCCCCTCCCTTCCCCCAGCGAGGGCAGGGGGGTGTTCCCCGGTGTGGAGATCTACCACATGGTGGAGCAGGTTAATGGCCACCTGAAGGAGAGCATCCTCAAGGCACTGGAGGAGGAGAGGTAACAGGCAGGGGGAGCAGTGGCATTGGTGCCTCTGGCCGTGTATTTCCATGGGAGGGGACCTGCCTGATGCGCAGCTCCCCATTGCCGGTGGCCCCTGTGCCCCCAAGTCCCTCGTGCCTCTCCAGTGCCATCAAGGGCTGGTTCAGCCCCTACCACAGGAAACGGCAGTTTGGGAACCCCCGCAACATGGAGAGCTTTGGCAGCAAGGTGCTGAAGTAGGTGCTGCCGGGGCTGGGAGGAGACTGCACGGGGCTGCGAGGGCTCCCTCGCGGGAGGGAGCTGCACCCCTGCTCTCGGCCCTCCAGGCTCCACGAGGACTGGGAGAGCTTTGTCCGTGACCTGCGTGCCCAGCTGGACAGGATCTACTTCCCTGACACGGTGGAGGAGTGGCTGGAGGAGAACGTCAACCCCTACCTGGACCAGCTGCGGGACCTGGTGCGGGACTACCGGGCCATCATCCGCCTCAAGGGCCGGCCCAAGGCCACGTAGGGGCTGCAGCCCCGGCTCCCGCTGCCCCCTGGCTCTGGGGCCACCATCGTGCGTGCGTGTGTGTGTGTGTTTGCTGGTGACAGCGCTGCTGCTGCTGTCTGCACTGTACAGAGCCCCTGCACTGCCCCTCCACAATAAAGTATTTTCGTAGATATTGCTGCTTGCCGGGCGGGCACAGCTCTGCCCCCGTGCAGGGAGAGGGAGCTCGGGCTGGTGTGAAGGGCTGGGCTCCACCGGTGACAGCCCCCGGGCCCCTGCTCAGGCTCTGATGGAGCCAGAGGGGTTGGCAGCCGCAGGGCAGAGTGTGACAGAGCTCGTGGGGACACCCGTGTGCCTCCTGCTGGCCTCGAGGGTGGCCGTGCCCTCCCTGCGCAGGATCCAGCGTGTGCCTGCTGCGTGCTGCATGTCCCAGGCCAGGGCTGGCACCTGGGACAGAGCAGGGACACAGGGACGGGCAGGGGCCCTGCCAGGCTCCCAGCTGCACCCACTGCCCAGCGCTGGGTCTGCTTCCAGTCTCTGTGAGTCCCTGATCGCTGGGAGGGCTGGGAGCACAGCGGTGCCTTCTTCAGCCTCCAAACTCTGCCTTCATCTCTTCCTTCTTCTCTGTAATTCCAGCCCAGGGCCCCGTGTGCTCCCAGACCCCCCTGCCTCCCGAGCCCGGGCCGAGGCCCCGCTGCGCTGCTTTCCCATCGGAAAGGCAGCTGTGCTGGGGGATCTCTGCGTGGGATGAGCCCTCCTGCTGCTGCTGCTGCTGCCTCTGGTTCCCACAGTCAGATTTCCACGTGCCTGTTGCCCACGGTGCCCATCCTAAACCCCCCGTGCCCCAGGCTCTGCCCGTTCCGGGCGCCGCTTTCTCCCGGCGAGTGCAGGGCAGGAACGGGGACATTTCACTGCACATTCTTCTGCTCTGCAAAGACCAACCCGACTTGGCAAGAGCCCCAGGGAGCCGCAGGAACGCCAGGCTGGAGCTCCTCCCGCAAAGCCCGGCTCAGGAGGGGAGGAGGGACGGGGTTGGTGCGCCCCACCGGCCCCACACCGCTCCCGGCTGCCCCGGGTGTGCCCCGGTCACAGAGGTCCCGGTGCCCGGCGGGGCCGCGGGGGCAGGAGCTGCCCCGTGCTGGGTCGGTGCGGGGTGACCGGCGGTGGGGGCCCAGCAGGAGGGAGCCGTGGGGCACAAAGGGACCTTTGTTGAGGCGCTCCGGTTGTTATCAGGTGGTGGCAGATGTGAGGGAAGCCCCCGAGCCGAGCGCAGCCCCAGCCCCCAGCCCCGGAGCCCGGCTCAGGGCCCCGTGCGGCGCCCGGCTGCGGGATTAGAGGGCAGATTAGACGGCGCTCCGTGCTGGCAACCCAAATGTCCTGGATTGGAAAGTGGGGGTGGGGACAGGAGACGGACCCCGCCGTGCCCGAGGGGGGGCAGCCCGGAGACGGGGCCCGGGCGGGAGCTCGGGGGGCGCTGGCAGCCGGGGGCGGGCAGGGGGCACCGGGGCACAGCGGGGCTCCCTCCTCCTTCTTCCCGTCTGCCGCGGGGCTCACACGGGGCTGCAGCTCCCGGTGCCCGTGCCCTGCAGCCCCTGGGACCGCACCCTCATGCCCAGCGCTGGTGCTGGCCCGCAGCCCTCTGGCCCCGTGTGCCCCAGAGCCGGTTGGATGGAGCCGGGACTGCGCGAGGCTTTGAGCTGGGAACTTGTCCGGGAGGGCAGAAATTTGGGCTGATTTCGTGCGAATGATGTCCGTGCTCTGCCCTGATGGCACCGCGGGGACATCAGCGCCTTGTCCATCCCTGGCCCCATTTCCTATCGGGTTCCTCAGCTTCCTCAGCCCTCGGCACAGCCGGGAACCCTCCGCAACCGTAATGTCTCGGTCATTTCAGCCTTAAAAGTGAAAGGGACGAATGTCACCGGCCATTGTGTCAACAAAAGTGGAAGATGACGCGGTAATGAGCGCTTTATTTACAGAAATAAAGAGGGCTGCTCTTGCCCGGTTTCCGATATCGGCGCCGCAGGCTGCTGCGATGGCCGGGCGGGACGGGGAGCGGCGAAGGGCACCTGGAGCCGGGCTGGGGAGCAGGGGGTGCTCGGGGAGGGGTCTGCGGGACCCCCCGGGACCCTCCCCAGGGAGATGGAGGCCCCGAGCAGCCGTGCTGCCCCCGTCCCCTCCGGCCGCTGGGACCCGCCAGCTCGGTACACGCCACGGCTGCGCGGCGGCTCCCACCGGGGCGTCCCCCGGGCCCGGCACCGGGGAGGGGATCCCCGCGCTCCGCCCGCAGCACCGGGCGGCCCCCGCCCTCTCCTCCTCTCCTCCTCCTCCTCCTCCTCCTCCCGCTGCTCGTCGTCCTCCTCCTCCTCTTCCTCTCCCGCGCTGCCCCCCGCGCTCCCGGTGCGGCCCCCCCGCCCCGCCGCGCCCCGCCCCGGGCGCCCGCCGCCGCCGCCGCCCCCGCCCCCGCCTCCGGAGCGGGCGGGCTGGGCGGGGGGGCTGCACCGTGCCGAGCCGAGCCGTGCCGAGCCGCGCCGAGCCGCCCCCCGCCGCCCCCCGCCCCTCGCCGCGCCGCGCCGCGGAGGATGCTCGGGCCGTGAGCCCGCAGCCGGCAGCCCCGGCGCGGCGCAGCCATGGGCAAGGACCAGGAGCTGGTGCAGGCGGTGAAGGCGGAGGACATCGCGGCCGTGCAGAAGCTGCTGCAGAGGCCCAAGCCCGGCAAAGCCAGTGAGTGCGGCGGCGGCGGGGCCGGGCGGGGGGCGCCGCTGCGGGGGGACACACGGAGGGGGGGGAGCACGCACGGGCACCGGCGTCGCAGCCGCGGGCGCGGCGCCTCGGGGCCGCATCCCAGCGCTGCTCCCGGGGCCCGGCCGCGATGCCGCCCTGCCCGCCCCGGAGCATCCCCGGCCCTTCCCCGGCTGCGGCTCCGAGCGGGCGGGCGGGGACCGTAGACGTGCCGAGGACCCCCGGCGGCGCCCCGGGAGGGGCGGGGGGCGCTGCCCGGCGCGGCTCTGAGCGCACCGGCGGGGCTCGGAGCATCCCCGGGCGCTGCGCGGGTGCGGAGCGCTGCGAAGGGTCCCCTCGCCCGTCCCGGGGCACCCCCGGCGCGGTCGGGCTCCGGCCGGGCTGCCCTCGCCCCGTACCCCGGAGCAACTCCGGACCCTCCGGGAGCCGGGCCCGGTGCTCTCCCGCTGCTCCCGGGGGTCTGGGCAGGGTTTGCGGCCGGGCGCGTCTGCGTGTGCGTGCAGCGAGTGTGGCCGGCCCGCGCGGGAGAGCGCCGGGGCTCGCTGCCCGCACAGCCCTGCGTGTGTCCGCGCTGCCGCGGGCGCGTGTGCGGCTGTGTTTGGGTGCGTGGGGTGTTTGCGTGGCGGTGTGTACCCTGGCATCTGCGTGTTTGGCTGGGCTGTTGGTGTTCCTCGCTGAGGGGGTGTTTGGATGTCGCTCCGCGGGTATCTCCCGGAGCATCCCTGCGGCTGGCTGTGCTCGGCTCCGCGGGTGCGTGGCCAGGTGTGAGGCTGCGGGGGCGTGCGTGTGGCTGTGCGTGTGCGTCTCCGGGTGTACGTGTGTGTAGCTCCATGAGTATCTACTCGCTGTAGGATGTAACTGCTCCGTCGAGGCGTTCCGCCCGGGACTGAATAATTCATGGTGCTGATGCAGCCGCAGGTTTCAGGCCTGGTGCCGGGGACGAGCTGGGCTGCCGGGGACCGTCCCTGGGTATGGGCAGGGACCGCGGGGAGCACTCGGGTGGCTCTGGGTCACTGGGCACACGGTCCCTCCATTGCTGTGCCCACTGTCCCTCTCTGCAGGGCTGGCACTCCCCAAATGTGGGCACCCCTGGAGCTGTGCAGGACTGGTGAGCTGTCCCCTGTCCCTGGTCGTGCAGGGCTGTTTCTGGCCAAGCAGGGCCAGCGTGGTGCCCCATGTCCTGGTGCTGAGCAGGGTTGGCGTGGCATTCCCCATGTCCCTGCTCTGGTGTTGCATCCACCATGTCCACGGTGCCACATGAGGCCAACATGTGTTTCCTCGTGCCATGCAGGGCTGGCAGGGTGTCCCCCATGTCCCCAGTGCCATCGTTGCTGTCACTGCTGAGGGACTGTGCAGGGCAAGAAGAGCCTCCAGCTCAGAGCCTTCTTCATCCCAACCCACTCCAGACACTGCTGCTGCCATGGCCTCTTGGGGCAGTGTGTGGGTATGGGGACAACGCTTGGCCTGTGCCCAGCAGTGTCCCCACACACCCTTCTCCAGTCCCTGCTGGCCTGGGCACACAGCTGGCGTTGCTGTGGCAACAACCAGAGGTGCTTGAGTGCCACCACCTTCTCCTGCATCCCTGTCCTTCCCAGGGCTCTGCTGCATCTCCCACGGCTGAGCCCTCTGGACACCAGTCAGGATGGCCATGGGGGCCAGCAGTGTTCCCTGTGCCAGGGCCACAGGTGAGGGACATGGGACACCCAGTGGGGCTGAGCCTGCTGTTGGGGTGGATGTCACCCCCTTCCCTTGCTGGGTTGCCCATCTCCAGCTCTGCTGGACCCACAGTGCCAGTGCCAGGCTCGTCTGGGGCCATTTCCCCACCGGACCCCACTCTCCCCTGTGGCAGTGGGTGCCACGTGTGCTGTGGGTGCCGTGCTCCCAGCCTGGGGTGCTCAAGCACCTCTGGCCATGGCAGTGGGGCTGCAGTGGTGCACAGAGTGGGAGAGCAGCGGGCAGGGCTGTCCCCACGTCCCCTCCGAGTTCCGGTCCCACACACGCCTGCGGCGCTCCCCGCGCGGCACCGGCAAGATTTGTAACTTAGCTCTGTTATCTGGATAATATCCTATTCATGTGGGGTTTAATACACGAGATTTCAAAAATCCTTGCGTGAATTAGCACGGGTTGCCATGGTGACAGGGGGCCCGTTTGGTGTGAGTGTGGGCTCGGGCCGGGCCGGCCGCAGCGCACACCGCGCCTGCTTCCCGGCCATCCATAATTGATGAGGTTGTCTGAAAGTTGCGCAAATCAGATGCAGGGATTTGGCAGCAAACTGTTTCCCTCCCTGTCCCCTCCTTCTCGGTGCTACCTCGAAGAAATGTGGTGACTTGGCGTTTTCCCCTTGCCTCCAGCAGCCTGGGATGGGATGGGACCGTGGGGTGTCTCCAGGAGCACTGTGCCCGCTGTGCCACCCCTGTCCTGGGCACCTGGGGCTTTGGGCAGTGGGAGATGAGCTGTGCCGTGCTGTGCCATGCAGAGGATCTACAGTTCTGTGGCTGTGGAGGGTTGGAGTGAGCTGGCTCCTTCCCTGTGAGCCCTGCAAGGGCTCACCCACGTTGGGAATGGCTCCTGTGTGGTGCTGCTGGTGCCGAGTGTGGCACCTCCAGCCAAAGGTTGGACCCTCTGCTCCGGTTTCTCCTCCAGCCAGGCTGGGGGGCTCTGTAAAGCCCTTCCACACATGGCAGCATCGTGTGGCCAAGGAGATGTCCCAGCACGTGGCCCTGCAGTGCCAGGAGATGCACCCAGCATGGCAGGAACTGGCTGTGTGGGTGGAATCCAGGGCTGTGTCCTGTGGGACTGTGCTGCCCTCCCCATGCCTGGTCCCCCAGGTTGCCATCAGGACTCGTGTCCTGGTGTGCTGTTGGAGCTCTGGGGCCACCTGGGGCTGGGTTAGCCATGCTGCCTGGCTGGGATCAGGGCTGGGCACAGAGCTCTGCATCCCCTGTGTCCTGCCACGTCAGGGGAGCCCTGGATAACCCAGCCCAGCCTGGCCCCACTGCCCGGGGTGCTGGTGCTGAGGCCTGGGCAGCTCTCAGTGTCCCCACTCTGGCCAGGAGAGCCCTGTTCCTGCTCTGCCACCTGGGCAGGGCTCTGTATCCTGCCCTGTGTGTCACTGGCAGCAGCGCTGGCATCTCAGGGCTTGTCCCATCAGTCTGGCCCTGCTGCCATGTGCAGGGAGCAGGTTCCACCATACCTAGGAAGGGACCTCAAAGCTCAGTGAGAGCCCTCAGTGTCCTGCTGTCCCCGGGGAGCCATCCTGGGACGTGAGTGGAGCTGGACTGGCTGGGCTGGGATGTTCCTTCACCGGTGCTCCAGGATTTGGGGACAGTGGGAAGCAGAGCCAGAGCACCTGGGGACACGGGCTCTGGGCAGGGCCTCGCCAGCTGCCTCCTGCCCTCCGGTGTGTCCTCCTGCACAGTGGCCAGTTAATTCTGGGTTTTCTTGCCTGCAGTTGATTGCATTCATAATCTGCTCTGATAACAGTATTTAATAAAACCGGGCTAATATGGCGCAGTTAGGAAATGTCTTTGACATTTTACAATTCAATTTCCATGCAGTAAAAGGCAGGGCAGATGCAAATCCAATTGTGGTGCAGTGCCCAGGGCACACGTGGCCGGCAGCCGCCGGAGCTGCCCGGTTCCCCCGGCCCTGTGGGAGAGCAGGAGCCTTCCCTGGGAGGCAGCCACCCCTGATGGCTCCTGCTGCTGCTCCCTGGGCAGCGGGCAGGACCTCCCTGCTGCCAGAGAAACCCAGGCAGGGATGAGCAGGTGATGCTCACTGGGGTGCTGGAGCCCCTGCACGCTGCTGCCTCTGGAGCCACCCAGAGGTGCTGGGCAGCACATCTGGACTGGGGGAAGGGGCTGTGGGGCCAGATCCTGTGGCCAAAGAGGTGCTGGGCCCGAGCATCCCCCATGGCATGGCCAGGCACTGCTCCCACGCCTCCCCCCGTGCCCTTGGCAGGGATGGAGGGGCAGAATGCCAAGGGGATGGGCTGGGGCACGGGGGTGGTGCCAGCAAGGGGAGATGTGGGTGCATCCCAGGCGTGGCCCAGGCACGGGCTGTGCTCTGAGCCCTGCCCAGCTTCCTCCAGCTGCTGCCCAGCTCCTCCACGTGTCAGCGGGTCCCTCGTCAGCCTCTGGGGGTTCCCAGCCCGCGTGCAAAGCCTCGCTCCCAGCAGGACTTGGCAGGGAAGCGTGGGCTGGAGTGTGCCAAGTTTCCTTCCAGAGGGGCACGATTGCTCAGCCTGGGGTGGCTCCTCATTATTTTACATTTCTTGCCTCTGTGCTGGGCCGAGCTGTGCGTGCACACCCTCCCTGCCCCTGCCCCCAGCACAGCCCCCGTGTCCGGGCTGGCTGCAGGGTCCCTGCCCCGCAGGACAGCTCTGGGCACTGGGGACACTTGGCCACTGCCATGGAGGGGCAGCGAGCCATGGGCTGGCGGCTCCGTTCCCAGCTCCCTCCCTGGCCTGGATTTCCTCTCAGCAGTCCCAAATCCACCTGGCTGGACACCAAGCAGCCCTTTGGCAGCCCCTCTGCGGGGCTCTCCCACGGCTGTGTGTGCACCAGGACCTCTCTGCCCCCGTGCTGGGGGTGGCACCGGGGGGGACATGGCAGGGCCAGCTGCACCCAAGGGTGGCCGGGCTGGCACTGAGCAGGTCTGAGTGCTGTGAGTGCCCTGAGCTCCTCTCCACAGCCGTCCCAGTGGCTGCCAGGCCACGGTGGTTTCCAGTAGCCAGGCTGGCGTCTGGCTCCTCTCCTCCTCTCTGCACTCTGTTTAACCCTTCCTTCCCCTTCCCAGCTGCTGGGAATGGCTGTGGTCAGTCCCCCTGCCCATCTCGGTGTGCCCAGGTGCCCCCAGCCCCTTCCCCCTCCCCACGTGTCTGCAATGGCTACAGCAGCAGGGCCTGGGGATGGCAGCTCTGTGCTGCTGTGCCAGGGCCCAGGTGGGTCCCAGAGCAGTGCTGGGTGCTCAGTGAGCACATT